CTGTAAATTGCCTGTATTCTCTAAAATTTCCATTGTTTTGGCAAACCACTTAGGACATAAGTCTTAAAAATAGAAAGTCAAAAATAAAATTTTAAATAATGCAGTATCTTCATTGCATGCAGACTTAAACAGCATTAATAGAAGATTTGCAACCAGCCTCTTGTTTGAATTTTTAAAGTAATTTGTATCCATAAAAATGAAAGTGAAGAAGCAGTTAACCAGCTAAGCAGTGGGTTCTGTCAGCAAGATTAATATTGCAACAATAATCCCTTCAAGAATAAGTTTAAATATTGAAAACAATAGCCACCTTAGTGACTGTATTTTTCCTCATTAGAGCAGTACTAAGGTGGCTGCTGAATTCCAAAACTAGAAGCTTCACATGAGTTTTGGCAGGTGAAGCTTGACAGAATGCCAGGAGGCACACATTTAGTGCTAATCAATAAACGTTTGCTTTCAAACTTAACCATTAAGGATCTCTTAAAAACCCCCAATATTTGAAATTAACATTAAAAAATAGAGCAAAAAAAGAATTCTGCAAGAAATGTTACATAAAGAAGAAGAAAGTCTTCAAATGTTTAAATAATTTTTACATTCTGAGATCCTAAACAGTAGAGGAAGTGGAGATCAGAGCATTTTACTGATCAGAAAAAAAAACAAATGACATAATAAAAAAATAATCTTCTGTCATAGGGACTGATCCAAAGCCAATTCATGTTACTGGAAGCTTTTCCCTGTGATTTTCTTGATCTTTGGGACAGATCAGAATGAGGCCAAATACTTCTTTTTCTAGCAGAGTCTGTGGAGACCACCACAACACAAAGCTAACTGGACACAGAGGGCATCATGTGAGTGCAAATGATGAATATACTACAGTTTTAAAAAATAAATATGTTTTAACTCAAATGAAAGTTTGCAGCAATGTCCCTAGAACAGCTATAAGCACTTTTGCTTCAGGAAAAGAGGGTAACAGCATATGCTGTGAAAATAGGAAGGAAGAAAATAAAAAGTATATGTCTCTGTAAATGTGTTTGGGTGAGAGAGGTGGCACTGTACAGTATGTATTTGTGGATTAGGTTATTAGAAGCATATGAAATATTTAGAAGCAATGAATTGAAATGCTATTTCTATATTAGGGCAAATTAAATGTTGAATTTTTGAGACAGTTTAATGAAGTTGTATCTAGTTCTCTGTCGTACTCATTTTTCAGAACACTTTTTTCTGATCTCCTTACAGTCTAAATGTTATGCTGAATGAACACTCTCCTGACCAAAGAAATTAGCTATAATATTTACTTATGATTCACAGGTATCAATTAGCACTGGGATCAAACCCAGTAGCTAGCTCTATTTTATCATACTGCAAAAATTCCTGCAGTGCAAGGAATGGCATATGTTTATTATGTTAATGATGAACCATTAATAAGATTATTCACATCAGCTAACATTTTATGTGAGGTGCCTAATTTGGTCAAAATACCCAAGTAGTTTTCCTTAATTCTTTCATTATTGCTGAAATAATACAATTGTGGTGACCTGGACAGGCTGATCTACCAATGAGGAGAGACAAGACAACACATTTAGTTGTTTTGTGTTGGGTGAAATGACTTCCTGTAACTAGTCCAGATCTGATGCTACACCAAAGTGTTAATGAGGCATGCATATCAGAAACTAGAAGTGATATACACCTTGTTCAGCCAGAACAAAGACTTTAAGAACTTGGTTCTCATTCTGAACAAGTGTTTTATTAACAAGTAAGTGATCTTGGTACTGTGTTTGTCTTCTGCTTATCAAGCTGACTTCTTCCTGTTCTGTCAATAAGTATTTTAGAGTCACTGTAAAAGAGACTTTACATTTCTGCAAAATTGATTTCTTATTATTAAGTAGTGCCTTTTGCAGGCTTACTGGTGAATGTAGTTAACACCCTTTTACTCCAGGGAAAGATGCTAAATTACTTTTCAGTTAGAATGTATGACTTACTCCTTCTACCAATGTCAGTTAAGAGCTCAGAAATCCTGTGTGAAAAATCTTCATTTCATTTTGCTTGACAAATATGTCTCAATCCTTGTTGAAAATAGCTGACTGAAGAGTCCTTCTCCAGTTTGAGTGAAGACTACTTGTGACCATATTGACAGTTCTAGTGCTCCTTTGCTTATTAAAGGCTCATCCCTTAAAACCCAGGACTGTCTCTACCACAGTGGATATCAACAGAAGCTAACAGAGATGAATCTTGCAGTAGAACTAAAATGAACCTCAAACAAGGTCCAAGGTTGGTATTGCATTTGCAAGCATGAGTAACTTCAATCAGTGAAGAAAGTTCATAAGTTTATGCAAACAGGGACATGGGATGAAGTACCTGGAGCAGCTGATTTGTAGTCAATGTGATAGTAGTTTACAAAATTACTTTTTCTTTCGTTGTTCACAGAAAATCGTATGTGCTGAAGAAGCTTCTTGAACTGGTTTCCAGAACAGACTTTTCTCCATTTCATCACTTGTACAAGAAAAATCAATAGAACACATTCTTATATTACATATCTCAGTTTTCCAAAATGGATGGAAGTATTGTATAGTGTAAAGATTGAATAAACTGTAAAATAGTATCTATATACATCTTTGTATTTTCTGAAAGCAAATTGTTTAACAAGTTCTTCAATAATTATGTATTGTCTCCAAGGACTAGGTGTTTGAAATCATATCAAAATTTACCTTTTTGGAGCAGAAGTGTCCAGAGCTCTTAAAAAAAAATGCAAACCACAACAAACAAACAAAGAAACAAAATATTTTAAAAAGGACTAAGGAGGACTTGACACATTACAGCCCTAAGCCATCCTACACCCTGTTTTTTGAACTTCATATTTTCCTCTATTTCCATATGCCTTTCATTTTATGTCCCTTACATTTGGTTTTGAAGAACCCAGAATTTCAGGCCAAGACTGAGAGCAAATTTTTCCAATGCCAAGAGAAAAAGGACTGCTCTCTGTTTTCAGCTGAATTCAAAACAAACAAAAATGCACACTAAAAAATTTATCTTGATTTCTGAAAAAAAAAATCAACCAAGAAGGAGAAAAGCCATACTTATTTGGATCCATAAGTCAAGATGACCTGGGATCTTACAAAATCCCTCAGGTTTACTAAGACCTCAGATTCAGAGATGAGTCATGTCAGGTTTGACTTTTAAAACAAACTTTCAAATTGTATGGTTCTATAAAATACATCTTTTTTTTAATGAAATTTCACCTCAACTTTGGGATTGTTCAGCCTGAAGAAGAGAAGGCTCCGGGGAAACCTTATAACAACCTTACGGTACCTAAAGAGAGTCTACAAGAAAGCTGGAGAAGGACTTTTCACAAGGGCATCTAGTGATAGGATAAGTGGGAATGGCTTAAAACAGAGAGAGTAGGTTTGGATCACATATTAGGAAGAAATTCTTTACTGTGAGGGAGGTGAGACACTTTTACAGGATGCCCAGAGAAGCTGTGGACGCCCCATACATGGAAGCATTCAGAGACAGGTTAGATGGGGTTTTGAGCAACTTGCTCTAGTGGAAGGTGTCCCTGCCCATGGCAGGAAGATTGAAACTAGATAATCTTTAAGGCTCTTTCCAACCCAAATAATTCTATGAGCCTATGAACTGAATGTGAAGAAAAAAAAGAATGAATACAGTTCTGGATAGTACAAACTACATTTTCATCGACTCAAGACATTTACATCTCTTTCCCACTGCATAATCCAAGATAACAGATTTATAGAACTGTATACATATAAGTGATAACTTGCAAAGATTGTATCTTACTGTCAGTAGATGCCCTACACAAATTCAAAGGAGTGTTGAAATATGCACAGTGAAGAAAAAAACAGAAGCATATTGCCTCATTTTAACACATATTATCTCTTTGATACTCTTATTAAGAGCAAAGACTTAGCAGCTCATGATGATCCTAGAACACAGGATCTATATATAGTATAATACATTGGACAAAGGTGATAGCAGTTAATCAGATGAAAATTCACTAATAAATTGTTTTATGCTGTCACTGCTTATGATTAAAGTGATTATAGTTGCACTTGACTTCTTAAAGATAAATACAAAGAAGATGTATGAATTATTGTACGTTGGCACAGGCTCTCAGCCAAAAAGTCTCTACTAATATTGGGTTTCTAGTACCCAATAAACTCTAGTTCAGTATTGTTCTGTAGCTATTGTAAGATATTATTACATCTTCTGTTCAATTATTGACACCTTTATTGCTTTGTTCACTAAACCGAGTCGTCCTGCACGTGCTTCTTTGCAGTCAGACGCCCAGAAGACATATCTGCATTAAGAGGGCTACAAACCTGCAAAGATTCTGTCTGTCTTATATAATAAATTGCATCTGCTCATCCATTCCCTGCTATAATAGTCGTAGATCTTCTTTACCACACTTATAGTTGCCTTCCATTTAAACTGAAAGGGATGGAAGTGACCAGTTTTAACTACCTATCCTATACTGACAGCTTTTAGAGCAGATTCTGTAAAAAGCTTTGAGAATGTACTCAATAAACTCTTCTAAAAAAAAAAAAAAAGAAAAAAGTTTTTCCCTGTTATGGATTTCCTCCCCTCTTCTCTGCTGTAATTTCATTGGAAAAGAGATGTGAGTAAAGCTTACTCTCACATTTTCTTTTATTGTATTTTCTACAGTTTATTCTAGAGAAGAAATATGTCCCTAGTCTTTATTCTTTTCATGTATATGCCAGGGACACAGCCTTTATTAAAGATTAAAAAAAAAAACCAAACCCAAACGCACCAAGTGGACTGCATCGTTTCCTATTGAAATAGGCCAGTTTTCATCAGAAAGCTGTAAGCCCAGCTAGAAATAGCTTAAGATAGATATTTGTTACCTGGGTGAGTTACCAATTGAGTTCCTCAATTTTGTGTTAAAGGTTATTTCTGTGGAACCTTTTAGATCAACCATGATAAAAGCAAAGCCCAAGTAACTTTGGTCTTTCTGGAACCGTAAACATATCTGAGAACACCATGAATTTTTCTTTTATTGTGCTTTAGCGTTGAAGAATGTCTTCTTTTTGATGATTGAGCTTTACGTGCAGAGCTCAGGAGCAGAGGAAGTTGGAGAAGGCAGCTTTTAGTAGTCACTGCACCAAGGAACTACTTCTTACTCTTTCCTTTTCTTCAAAACAAACTGATTTTTACTTGTTCCTTCCCCTGTTTGCATAACAAGAATAGCATTATGCTGTTTCAAGAATGACGTCAATCATTCAGATTATTTAATTTCTCCATCAAGCTATACTACTGCAGACGTTTCATGTACTAATGTTTCATAAAGCAAACTTCTTGGATTGGAAGCTCTCAGTAAGAACTTTATCTGCATCACAACTATGATACAGAAGTCCTGCATTATATACCTTACAGCGTGTCTTTAAATATTCATAAAATATAAAGTCTCTTGATAACATAACTACAGCTAATGGCCAAATTTACCATTTTATATTTCTAACTACTTTAGAGATATTATAATAAAGGCAAAGACTTCCCACCTAGCTTGTCATCTTTACCCTTTTAAAACCTACACAACAGAAAAACTCGTTTGCAACTTGCTGCAGTTTTTACTGGAATTTACCAATTATTTTTAGCTTACCTACCAAGTTGGGATAATCCAATCATTGGATTAATCAGCATAATCAACAGAAATTCTATTGAATATCCTTCTCTTTTTATGTCCATTGATTCCCAATTGACTGCTATAGACGTCAGCAATTCACCTACTGAAATTCAATATACACTTGAGGATCTATGCCTCCAAGTATCTCCAGTATTTGCTTTCAGCCTCAGTGGAAATTAATTGTTCTTTGGCTGTTTCTCAAACTTTCACCATTGGTAAGTGTTCCTTCTTATCTGTTCTTATCTGGTTTTTGTCTGTTATAGGGATTCATCTCGCATCTCTACATTAGCATTGACTTCATATTGCCAAATTGAAAATGGCTCAGAATGGACACGTTTTTCAGGTCTTAGTATTAAGGCAGGTGTTATTACACGTTTGGCTGTTTAGAGGGCCAGATTCATGTCAGGTCTTAGGTTTCCAAATACGGACAAACATACTCCATCAAAGCCTTCTTTGTCTTCCAGATGCAAGCATTAGGGCAGCTAATATGTAAGAAGAAAAGATGAGAGACTAACCTCACAGCTGAGAATCGTTCAGGTTCACAACTCTGTCTAGGTGAATAGAGGCACACACGCTGGGGAAAGAAAACTAGAAAAAGTGGCCACATAGGCAATTAGTATGAAAAGGGTTAGGAAGTTATTCAATTCTCTATTAGACAGGATTTGTAAGAACTAGCTATTGAAAAACCCTCTCTTTGAGCTGCTGTGCTTGAATGCAGGAGCTGCTGGTTAATAGTCTATGGTCACTTTCTGACCTCAAAAATCTATTACTCTAAAGCAGGCACTGCTCTCTCAGGTATCTGAAAGTATGATCTAATAGCAAATGTTGAATTAAAAGACACAGCACTCAGACGAGAAAATAAATTAGTTTCATTACTACATACCTCACAAAATACATAAGCATTTGTATTTGAATAACAATGTTAATATTAGGAAAACTACAGCATAATCAGTTGTGCTTCATTACACAATTTTACTGTAGCTGAAGCAATATTTAATTTTGATACAGAGACACTTAGCATTTTGAAGAAAAAAACAATTTTTCAGTTTATGCACAAAGCCATTTTTTACTTCCTTGTTGGCTATGCCATTGGAAATACTGAATCTCAGATCAGTCATGTATAGTAAGAAATCTCAGTAAGACACTTAGAAAATCCATTTTAAACATCTGTCAACAGAAAAGTATTGAATAATTCAATTTTTTTTTTAGTAAGGAGACTCAAGGGTAACAAGTGGGTAACGTTGCAGAACTCAATCTTCCCCAGAAACACTCTTCACACTAACATATATTCAATCATAGAATGTCCTGAGTTGGAAAGCACCCACAAGGATCATTGAAGTTCAACTCCTAAGGTCAATCATGCCTATGAAAGTGAATTTACTATCAATATCACAAATACTTTCATACTCATTTGGTCTTGTAATAAAGCAATAGAACAAAAACTCTCAGAGATATTCTGACTCCTCTACAGTCCACAGAGAAGCTTGGTCGGGGTTTGTTTTGTTGTGGGGTTTTTTTTTGGTTTTTTTGTTTGTTTGGTTTGGCTTGGTTTTGGTTTTTGTTGTGTTGGGGTTTCATGGGGTTTTTTTAGTCTAGATGCAATTATAAAAAACCCCAACAAATTAAAACCCAGTACAAACATAAGTTTTTCCCTGCCACCCTCAACATAGATCTTCTCTTTCTGACTCTTCCTATTGAATACACACAAGATTAGTGCATTAAGCTAAGGTCAGCCCCTGTGACTACTTTGCAGTTTGTTGTATTTGCTTATATCTTTTATTTCTCAGTTCCACGTCTACAAAACCACGCAAGATTTTTCAGTAAGAATTTCCAAAAATAGACTTATAATGAAGAAGTACAAGAATAGCATGGATATAGATTTTCAAAAGGCACAGACTCCTGCTGACTTTTGTCAGTTAACTCAGAGAAAATGTCTTTTTTGCTAAATTTTCTCTGACAAGAATATTTTTCTTCTCTATTATTTACCAATTCTGCCAAAATCAGTAGTTTCACACTGGTGAAAATTACTATACAGGATGTACAAAACCTCCACCTGTTCAAGTATTGTTACAATGGACATATGGGAAAGAGTAAATTTTAAGAAACAGAATTGAAAAAAGTAACATTTGAAGCACAGTGGTGAATACACTTTCCCAAGTTCAACTTGAACTTGAGACACCATTCTGGATATACTGAATGATGGTGTACAAACAGAATATATGATCCACTTATACAGCATAAAGGAGGCCTTCTGTCTTTAATCTTGCATTAGCAGAAGCTGCTGTGATGCAGTTACCACTGAGAAGACTCAGTTCAAAAGCAGGGATGAGGCAGGAGACTGGAAGAAAAGCACTTCATGAATATCTCTCCTGCCAGGACCAATCATCCATCCTTTATTTTATAGAACATGTCATACAGCGATGAGAATAGTATGTCCTGTGTCAAATCAATGAAGCAAGCACTTTGTCCTGTGCTTCAGCAACCATCATGAAAGATTAATCTGCACAGCACATAAACACACTTCAGTACAATTATATTCCCAGGGAGCAGATTCTTGATTGTCTCAACTCTAGGCAGCACAGACAGGGGGCACTTCCAAGTAAGCTGGAGCCAGATGGGATTCTGTAGCCCCAGACAGAGTGCAAAACAAGGCTTATGGATTATCCTACCTTCACACAGAATGCTACAGTGACTTCACAGGTTTATTCTTCGAGAACTTGTCCCATTATTTAGGGCTTCAAAACTGAGTTAAATAGCTATTATTTTAAGTATTCCTAATTTTTCTTGCTACATCTGTCTACAAAGTATTCACTAGTGAGCAGGGAAGGTGTGGTGCAGGTATCAACACAAAATTATGTTGTCTTCAGCTGCTTACCATGGCAGAAAAATGTATTTTTTTTTTTAATAAAATCAATTTACTAGCTAATTGCACATTACTCTTTCCATCAAGTGTGTCACATGCAAATTCAGAGATTGATAGCACATTAAAGCAGTATTTCATTGTTTTTGAAGGGAACAGAAGGCCCAGTTTTCTAGTCTGGACATAGAGTCAGCACTTGAAAAAATAGAAAGAAACTTTAGACACTTCTACTTACCTTCTATGTTTCTTTATATATTAGCTTCCAAAGTTAAAAGACAACTAGAATACTTCTAGTTTTGCTTCTTTGGTGAAATCTAATAAAGTATTTTCTTCCTGTTGCTGCATTAAACACTCGAAATTAAAGGATAGAAAGTTATAAAAGGTGTCAGTTTAGGTGCCAAAAATGGTCTTGGACAGAAAAATGACAATTCATATAACCAACCTGGAGAGAACACTGCAAAAAACACCCAGTATCTGTTTGCATTCTACTGTCTACAAGATGGTTCTAGTTGTCTATATATATATATATATATATCATCATATCTAGTTTTAATGAGTTGCCCATTATTGACAGTTAATGACTGCTACTGAATCAGTAAAGTATCACTGTACGAAACCTGCTCCTGAATTTTGACTACCAGGTATTTCCTGATGATGCTAATGTATGGTAGTTTGTAGTTCTCCTCTCATACTCTTCCCACCCAGGGTGAACTTGATCCTCATTAATATGAGCTGTCTGCCTCCTTGATTTCTCAATCTGCCCTGTTACTGTCAACTTTAACATGTTCAGCTACCTTCTCTCTTTGGTTGAATTATCCCTTCATTCTTCTCTCCGTTCCTTTTGGCATCTTCCCTTAAAATGCATTACTTTGCCACTCCATATTCCTAGGTGAAGACTCATTGAACTCTTGCTAAGATAGCTAGCTAGCTAGCAAAGAGAGGACCCTTCAGATAAGCCTCCACGTTGTATCTGTTTCTGGTACAGAAAACAGATACAGAAAACTGTCCATCTGGAGCAGGTCACCTATCTTGTCTCTCTGATACAAAGGCAGGTTGTTATTTCTGGTATCCTGGGAGCAAGGCATTCACCATGTACCTCACTGCTTAAGTTATCTGATGAAAGTTAGACATGCCACTGTTGCTACTTTATTGACCTGCCAAAGAGAAACACTGACAAAACCTAGCTGAGAATAATTCTTTTTCATGACTTCAAAAATACCAAACCCCATTACTCCAGCAAAATCTGTTCATCTATTATTTTAGCATGCCAGTGGTAATCCTTGTGAGCTGCCATTTCAGGAACAATAGGTGGAATGGAAGCAGTCTACATTGTTTTTTTCTCAGAATCTATATGGGATGCTGTGCTAAATGGGAGAACCAAACAAATTAATTGGGGCTGAATCTTTTTGTATATTTACAACTTTAATTTAGAGATAATACTCCAAAAGATCTTCACTTTAAAATACAAATTTTCACTAATAAAGGAAGACAACAATGTAATACAACTGTTCATTTAGAAAATCTCCAGTCAATGACATGAATTAAAAAATATCCCTAGAAGTCAGTAAGAGAAAAACAAATTAACTATTATACTTGATCTGTAAGTCTGAATTGTTCCTATATTGTAACTTTATGTGTCAGTTTGATTAACACTCATTATATCACATTAAAAAAAACAAAATAAATCAATGACCAACAGCCCCTGTCTTCAGAGTTTCCTGAGAGAGAAGGTTGGGTTTGACAGAAGTCTGAATCAAAATGGAAGCCACAACAAGATTGTCTACAATTTCTGAGGGAGGAAGATATTTAAAAGTCAAAAGTAAAGCAGACGTTTTCTTAAGCTTTTCATATCTACACTAGCCCAGAAATTGTCAACTATGGAAATAGAACTCACTAGATTTGTCTCAGGGATATGGTGGGTATGATTGTGTTAAACGATATATAAAACAGATTAGAGTAGGACTTACACTAATTACTGTTTTCATCAAAAAAAGAATGTTGGATACTGTGTGCATACAAATCAATATGCACCACCAACACTCCTTCCAGACAAGAGGGTCTCACTCCTGGAGATGCTCCCATAAGTGAGAATCACCAAAACAGCTGCTTTCCAGACAGTTACAACACTGTCCATGCATGCAACTATCCCACTATGATGTCAGCATTTATATTTTATAAACACAAGTTCTATTTCCACTCTGAAGCATACGCAATTATAGTTCTCTTGGCTGGGGCACATAAAACAAAGATCTTGTTACTCAGTACTACAAACTCCAGACGGTTGTTAATAAAGGGCTTATGCCTAGTTCACAAGTGATGACAAAAAATAAGGCCTCCACATGCCTTGAATATTTTCTTGTTCTGAAAGATTCTCGTCTTCTATGTATAAGCTCATCTTCTATGTATAAGTAATAACTCATACATCTGGAGTCTCTTTAAAGGATTAGTTCTCTGTTGTGGCACCTCTCATCCCACTTCTTTCTCCCTCATCACCACCCTTACCTCCTTTGTTACCACCCCATAAAAACCTGTCAACACAGAACATCAGAGCGCAGAGGCACTTCATAGTGCCAGGAACATACCATCACAGAGTCCTGTCAACAGTCCCTCCAGGTACTCACACAAGTGCAGCCCTGACCATCTTCTGATCTGTCTCTGGAGATGCTCTCTTGCTAAGAACTGTCAGCTGACTCAGGCTGCACACTTGCAAAAAACTCAGGCCACCAACTGAGCACCTACACCACCTCCAAAGCCATTCTGAGGTTGCAGTGGTGACTTACAATGAGCCAAGCCTGTCACAGCAAGTTGTGTCAGGAACATTGTAGTGGTTTAGACCTTGTTTTCTCCCAGAGGTTAAGAAAAGTGGTAGACCCCAAGGGGTGGAAACCCCTGGAAGTTTTGAAGTTTTGCCCAATGGGCGCTCCTGCAGAAATGTAAACATACCACAACCAGAACAGAAGAGATGAGTTGTAGTTTTGGTTGTTAGGAGAGGTGGCCATGTTGTAGAGCCACGAGGAAGGGGTTCAGAGCCCCACAGGGGGGTTTTGGCCCCCAGCCCCCAGCGGGGGCCTGCGGGGACCTGGAACAGCATAAAGCTGAGCTAAGTGCCTGTAGTTATGCCGGGAGATGTTTTCTCCATGGGCGCAGAGCAGCAGCCGGCACTGACCAGAGAAACGGTGGCAGAGAGCCAGAAAAGATAAGATGCGGCAGAGGCATTACAGCCAAACAGGAGGGAACTCCTGGAAAGGGAGAGAGAGAGAGAGCCAGCAGCAGAGCTACAGAGTCTTGGGGTAAGAACTGATACCAGACCCCCCAAAACTCCTTTGAGACCCCTCTTGGAAAGGAAGGATATGGACTCCTATTTTGGAAAGCAGTTTTGGACATGCAGCAGCGGAGAGAGAGAGGAGCTGAGAAGCTCAGAGTATCCTGGGAAGCTGGACTGGGACGGAGAGGAACGCAGAGGGGGAGGGCGACCTCGGCTTTTTCCCCCTTGCACTGCTACCAAGGTGGCAGCCTGAGGCAGTGGCACAGAGGCCCTGCAAGGAGCTTGGGTCTCCTGAAGATACCAGACCGTCACGAAGACCCCCTGCGTCTTCGTGATATGACCGTGGTGAAACGACCTTGTCTGGGGTTACGAAGCCCACGGAAGACCCCTTTGCCTGCGTCAAGAGGGCCAAGGGAGTTTGGATACCTCCCTCGTGAGTGCTGGCAGAAAGCCAGCTATCAGCTGCTGCATGCATGAGATGAGGAGAACCTGCTGCCTTAGAAGATGCTCCTGCTTTGAGACTGGAAGGGATCTGTTCTTCTTTCCCTTCTGGACTTTTATTTGGAGGGGAGAAGAGATCTGATCCATTGTAAATACTATATGTCATGGTAGAGATAGTTGTGATCGTGTGTATAATGTGTTATAATATTTATTTGTACAGTCATTGTAATATATATTCCCTTTCCCCATTTGGAGTCTGGTGTGTTTTGTCTGGAAAGCCCATCCCACATTAGGTTGAGATGGGGAAGGGGGCTTAGACTAGGGAATTAGATTTTTGGGGCTATCTCAAACCATGACAAACATCCTATCTACCAAAACTGAAATGACAAAACTAACAAGAGAATATTCTAGAAATGACAGAAAGCCACCAGCATCTAACCTGAGAGTTCAACTACTGCTGGTAGTTCAAGTCCAAAGCAAACTGAGAAGCCCTCACACAACTACTCTCTAGATCTCGGGACACTTACAGACAACAATTTTTTCATTGTCTCCCTGCTTAGCTGCAGTTATGCCTTTGAATACACCCAGTTTGAGTACTGCATGCTTACTGATAAACAGTTCAAGGCTTAGCTTACATTTAAGTCCAACCTAAAAAAAAAAAAAAAAGGGCTCTTTCCCTCCTAATTCCTCGAGGGAGTCAAAATAGCACCAAAGATACAGTCTCAGAAAAACAGAGGGGAAAATTACAAACACAGGGTCACCTCCTACCTTTAAACCCCTTCCTGAGAAGACTCAAGTGCAAATCAGACAGGAAAAGTAAAAGTGTTATTTTCTGACACTGTTCTGGAGGCAGTCACCTGCAAAAGAGGCTTCTAAATTACAACTTTCAATAACAGCCAGAACCAAGTGCTCACCAACCAACTCTGAGTAAAATGCAAACAGAAGAGGGCTGAAGATTTACTCCTTGCTGCAGCCCTTGTGATTAGTTGGGTCTGCTATGGGTGACCCACAGCTTCGAGGTCCTTTCTGCCATTCACCTTGCTGAGTGAGCAGTTCCTCCTGTAATTTCTGTTAACCCCTCTATCAAAAGTGGCCCTTTTCTATTGTAGCATTGCTGCAATCTTAATCTTCTCAGAAAAAGCAGCTATTCTATTCCTGCAGTAGCTACCTAATACTTATTTTTACACCTCCTGGTATTGCTCCCTAGCAGGAACTGCTGATTTTAGCAATATAGTCTTAAACTAGAAGTGGGATTGGAAAAGAACAAAAATCTACTGTCTGCAATTGTGCTGCTAAATAGAAAGCAGAAAGAATTGTCTTTCTTTGTAGGCCATGCCATATTTTAGACTCAAATGCAGTAAGCTGATGGATGTGAGCAGATCCCCCTGTGACTTCCCAGCACTATAGGAAGGAAAGGAAAATGACTGTGCAGAACAGTTTGAGTAATTATGGGCCTTAATTAGAAAGTAGAACTATGCTTCTGGCATCCATATAACTGTGCCTGGTTTTCATTAGGAAATGTGTCTTTTAGTTTTCCTCCAGGTTGTCTTCAAACAAAACTTTCTGCTTTTGAATGTGGCTATTAAATTAAATTGCTGTATATTTAAGACTTAAATTTTAATTCAACACG